CCTAGGGTAATGTATATTTTTCATACAATGTTCTATAAAACCTCCTTCAAATAATTCACTGGTGTTCAGATTCACTGTATTTACACAACCAATTTTTACAAAAACAGATAAGCTCCTCTGTCCAATTTCAGTACAATTTCCATTCCAATTAAAAGTCAAACCATCAGCCCAACAAGTGTAGTGTCTAGTACAACACAAAAGGAAGAACATTTAACTTGACAATATAAGTAGCTTTAAAAATAATGATTTTCACTGTTTTGCAAAACAAAAGATTTCACCGTAACTGCTTATTTCAAATGTGAAATTATATTTAGCAATTTGTATCTCATAATGACTACCTGAAATACAGGATATAAATTAAACACAGGACTAAGAAACCACGTAATTCATGATTCTTGTGTGAAAAAACTGCATGTTCTAGCTCTCCGGTTTTAGCTGAAAGTTTATTGAATCAAGCACTGGCTACATTTGTCTCTAAGGTTACGGGGTTTTGCAGTACACGCTATGCCACTTTATTTTAGAGCAAAAGCTCTGAATAGAGCAACATACTGCAATAAAATGTCTCTTTGCCTACTCACAACACTATTCTTTCTTCCCTCTCGCCTAATGATGCTGAAAACCCTCTAAAGAACAGATCCTACAATTATTTTATTTGTCAAAAATTTATGCCAGGAAAAGGCTGACAGGTGCGGCTGCCGTTACAAACCGGTGCGCTTATTCAGGCTTGTTCTGCTCTTTGTTAAGATTTTGGAAGGGTCTGCCCATCTTAAAGCAACTCTTCTGTGATGAGAGACAAAATATTGTGGCCATGCATATACTCCCTTTCCTTTTTTTCACAGTGATGTTAGAGCATGTACAGACACTGCCCAAGCTGTAGTTTCTGCCAGCTGGTCTCTCAGCTGGAGTGCATTTGGGTCCATTGGCAAGCACCCCGCGGAAGCTCCCCACCCTCATCTTTTTACCGTTTAGGCAACAGCAAGGCAACCCTGCTGCTTAGTCATTTTAAAAAAGTATTTTTCTTATTCCTGATGTAACAGTTCCAAGTCTTTGC